ATCTGTATCTGAGATCATATGAAAGCACAAGCAGCCAGCACTTGGGTTGTAACCCAAGACTATGGTCATGTTAAAACTAAAATTAGAGTTGCAACCCAAGTTGTTCACATGTCAGGCTGGTTGTAACTCAAGAGTCCACTGTACATCATCATCTACCATTTACAAGGGACATGCTAACATGCCTTCCATTCCCTCACACTCACAGACCCACAGCTTCCACTTCTGTAGTAGTTGCTGTTCACTGCTCATGGGCTACCTATGCAACATTGGATTGGAAATCAATGGAGTTTTCCTGTCCAACTGCCGTATCCACTTGGGCTGCCCTGACTGCTGTTGCTGACTCCACAGCCACCACTTGGCTGGCCCACCTTGACTGCACTGTTCTGATAAGCCGGTGCCTCCCATCACTTGGCCACCATAAGCACCACTGCTTGTTCCTGCTGTAGAATTCAAGAAGAGCTCTTGTGGTGGATTAACTAATAGTCAACTTGTAATGCCCAGCTGAACTGAATCAGTGTGTCCTGGATGTGTGGTCTGGGTGTGGAGGATCAACCCAAAGATCATTACCAATAGCCATAAAAAGAGAATTGGAGGGGAAAATCTTGGCCTTTTGATTTTCTAGAAGCTTGCTGTGGATGGTTTTCTTGAGGAAACTAGGCTGTTCTCCTATGAGGAGGAGCTTGGGCCTCAGTGTCACTGAGAATGGCCGCTGTTCTCGTCATGGGAGCTCAGATCTTCACCGTGAACATCACTTCCTGTCTCCAATGTGAATCCCTTGGCTTGGTGACACAAATCCATCATTGCATAGATTTTCTGGCTTCCACCACTGGCCTTTGGGCCTTCCAGCTGCAGATCCTCAATACCGGCAAGCATGAGACATTGCTGTGGGCTCTAGACCACTGGCTGGACTTGTGGAGGACATTGCCTTGGTCTCCAGGCCTTCGGCTGGATTTGTGTGGGACATTGCTGGGATCCAGGCCCTTGGTTGGATTCTTTGGGCCCCTAGTGTGTGGTTAATCTCTCGTACTCCTTTGCATTTAACTTTTTGTATCGCTTCTCGACCTTTTGGCTAAGATCAAGTGTAGTAACTTTTTGTGTAATTATCATAGAATAATCTTATAAACTATGTGCCTCGTAGTAAATGTATTCTCATGCCAAAATCCTGGCTACAACAGCTCTACATACCAATATGGTGTACAATTTTTTTTGTACCAGGAATCGAACTCAAATCCGTGCACTTGCGAGGCAGGCAGCGGAACCACTGAGCTAATTCCCCGGCCCTTGCATTTTTATTTTGAAATCACCAAGGTGCTTGCTTCAGCAGCATATATATTAAAACTGAAGTTGCCCAGGCTGGCTCTGAACTTTAAAAGTTAAAACACACACACACACACACACAACACTAAAAGTTTATTTCTGGGAACATTATTAATGCCTAAAATAGGTGCTTGATCGAGTTTGGTGGGAGAGATTAGAGAGCTGAATCGTGCTCAGAATCTGGCAGCTATATTCAAACAGGCAAAGGACAGAGAAGCAAATATAAATAGCTCAGATAAGTAGGCATCCGAAAACACTGTCCAACTCCCTAGTGGGTACGGCTTTCTTGCCTGCACTGTCCAGGTTGTAGTTGGATACGTGATGATTCATAATTTGGTCCTTTGGGATTTAAAAAATTGAATAAAAGTTCAGGCATGGTGGCACATGCCTATGATCTCAGTACTCAGGGAGAGTGAGGTAGAATAGCAAGTCTGAGACCAGCCTGGGCAACTCAGAGAGACCCTGTCTCAAAATAAAAAATAAAAAAGGGTTGGAGATATACCTTAGTATGAAGGCCCTGGGTTCAATCTCCAGACTGAAAAACTTTTTTGAATAAACTGGCTGTGATGGCGCATGCCCATAATCTCAGCACTCAGGAGGCTGAGGAAGGAGGATCATCGTGAGTTTGAGGCCAGCCTGGGTTACATAGTGAGTTTGAGGCCAGCCTGAACTCTACATAGTGAGACCCTATCTCAAAAATTTAAAAAAAAATCTACAATTTATGAATTATCTTAGAAAACAGGTAAGATCAGTCAACACTGAGTCTGAGTTACCGGGACCAGAAGCCAGACTTAGGGACTGGTCTTTTCTAGTCTTCAGTTTTTATAAAAGCAATACATGGACCACTTGATGTTACTTTACCCGGCTCCTATTGGAACTTGAGTTTGAAAGCCCTGGACAGAGTCAAGATTCCTCTGTGATAGTCTTGAATGTTCTTTTTTTTTTGAAACCAGGAATTGAGCTCAGGACTTGGCACAACTGAGTACATCGCCAGCCCTTCTGCTTTTCACCTTCACTTCCCTTAGCCTTCTTTTGTGTGGTGCTGAGGATGGAGCCAGATCCGCAGTGCTGGTCAATTGCTCCCCACTGATTGCACCCAGAGGCCCCATCCCATCCTGTCCCCTACCCTTGCTGACACACAACCTTGCTCAGGGTCAAAGTGTAGAGCAAAACAGAACGGGGATTAGAACCAGGTTTCTCATCTCACTATCCAGGCTCTTTTAACTACTTGGTAGTTAAAATAAACACTCATTTATTTAGGACAGCATGTCACTGAATTGCCCAGGCAGGGCTAACGTTTGTTTTTTTCCTGGCTTAACCTTACTGGGTGCTGAGATTACAGAATGTGCCACCATACCTGGCCTTTCTTCTTCTTCTTTTTTTTTTTTTTTTTTTTTTGG